ACCCAGACCAGTGGTCATTCCATATGTTGAGGGAGTATCAGAGAAACTGAGACGTTTATTTTCTAAACATAACGTCCCAGTGGCTTTTAAACCCCAAAATACATTACGGCAAAGACTGGTTCATCCCAAAGATCCAGTCCCCCGGCACAAACAGAGTAATGTTGTGTATGCTGTTCAGTGTCAGGAGGGCTGTGATCAGTCTTACATCGGGGAAACAAAACAGCCACTGGCCAAAAGGATGGCCCAGCACAGAAGATCAACATCATCAGGCCAGGACTCTGCGGTCTACACTCATCTCCAGGCCAGCGGTCACTCTTTCAGGGATGAAGATGTGCACATCCTGGATAGAGAGGAACGATGGTTTGAGAGAGGAGTAAAGGAGGCCATCTTTGTGAAAAGAAATCGTCCATCATTAAACAGGGGTGGAGGCCTCCGGGTTCAATTGTCCCCCTCTTACAATGCTGTGATTGCTAGTATCACTCAGCCCTCTGTGAACAGTAAACAGCCATCAGTGTGCTAATGATCCATTGTTAGGCTGATGGTCCTTCTTGATCATGTGATCAGCTGGGTTTGGTTGTCAGCAGCAAACTGGTTGATCCACTCTGAGACGGTGCTATTTAAGAGACTGAGCTGAATACAGCTCCTCAGACTGAGGAAGTCTCTCGGATGAAAGACGAAACGTATCTACATTTTTTTTTTTTTTTTTTTGAATGTCCAGAGGACCAGATTGAACTTTTTTTTTTTCTACCTGGATTATTGAGCATGCATCAGGATATTCCTTATTATGTTTAGCTTTTTGAGAGATGGCTAATTCTGCGCAAAGAATTCCCTAAAAAAAAAATCACAATTTAAGACAGACCCAAATGTAAATATAGAAATTTTGCTTCCAAGTATCACCAGCAGCTATAAGTGGATAAGACATGCAACATCTGTACAGATGTGGGGAAACGATCTGCAAACTCCTAAAGGCTCTCCTCATAGCTTAGCTTGAGATTCATTGTTGGATTTCATAATATTTTGTTCAGTATCCTTTATAATGTGACTGAGATTAGTTTCCCCATTTACACTTATTTATTTATTTTTAAATAAATTTTAACTTCGTAAAGATGCACACATATTTTTGATATAATCTCAAATGCATTTTTATTTATACATTTGTTAAAATAAAAATCTACTGTAAGGTTCTTGTGCAAAGTTTCCTGTTAGCTTTCTTTTCAGAACAACAATAAAGTACATTTTTAATTGTTTCAAGCTTTACAAGTAACTACTTTTTTAAACTAGACCAAAGCAAAGTGCCTAGGTACATTTTAAGGGTTCTTGACTACTGGTACATTCACCTGAAGATGCAGGTTAAATGGGGAGGCAGTCCGTCACCTTTGGAGTCTAATGGTAGGCACTGGGCAGGGAGTCATTTGTCCCAGTTCTATTTTCTTTACATGGGAGTCTGTAATACTGGCTGAAATCAAACCATCTTATGTATGCAGATGACCTGGTAGTTTTTAATCCAAGTGATGCTGGTTTAATGGTGCATACTGAATATGATGCAACATTAAACACCAGTAAAAGTGCAGTATTTATTATGTGGAAGCAAGCAGTACAAAGAGTTAATCTTTCCTTTGTTTGCATTGTTTAAATATAGTCTGGAGGTCCTTAAAAAGGTGAAATCTGTTGGTAATTTCATTACTGATTAATTGAATGTTAATGTTGATGACGATGCACAGACAGTATTTTAAGCTATATGCTCAGGTTAACACCCCTGCACACGTGTTCAGTGTATTATCTGTTCAGGTGAAAGTGGCTTTGTTTAAAGCATGTTGCACACTGCTCTGTACTGCCCATCTGTGGTTATCATGTAAAAAGATCCAGCATGCAGAAGGTTAAAGTGGCACAAAATGGTTCCATGAGAATCTTCCCTAAAATACCCAGAGTGGGCCTCGTACGTAGAGCTGAAACTTGTGCAACGTTTAGATGCTTCTGTAAACTGTATTATTGTGGCACTGTCAAAATCCTATTCCGAGTTATTCTGACTGCTCATCCATGCTGAGGGTTGAAATGTCTGAATGTACAATGATTGCTTTGCAGCTACGCTTCTATTTTTATTTTTTACATTCCTGTTTTCATTTAGTGTCGTTCATGTTTCTTTTGCTTCTTTTTTATGTACCTTCTGCAGAGTTTACTTCATCTAGAAAAAAATCTGTTTGTGTCTTTGTCAGGCGCTGTTTCACTGTGACCACATCCAGTACACGCTGGTACCGGTTACCGGCTGGCAGGACCTCTGCACTGCCTTTCTGGAACACAAAGAGCAGGTTTATTATGAGATTTGAGTTTATATATATATATATATATATATGACGGAAAATACAATAAACTAAATGTACTGTTTTGGTTGTGCTGCAGTTTAGATACTTCATTCTTATCAACTGCGGGGCGAATGTTGACCTCCTTGAGATGCTGCAGCCAGATGATGACTCCATCTTCTTTATCTGTGACACTCACCGCCCTGTGGATGTAGTTAATGTCTACAATGACAGTCAGGTGACGTACAGGGATCTGTTTAGTCCAAATGCTAGATTCATGTGTGAAGACTGTACTCTTGCCAAATGGCCAGTCAGAAGATTAGTGGTACTAAAGTGTTTTAGGGCAAAATGCTGAAGATCCATGTTTCCCCTTTAAGGTTCTTTGATGCCGGATTGTAGAAAAAAGGCTGCATACCAGTAAAGAATGTAAATGTACACATAACAGGTGATTCAGGAAAATTTAGGCATTTGTTTACTTTAATCACTTGACTTCCGTCAGCTGGAAGCTCCTCAGCCGTCCATCTCTTGTGAGCATTTTTAACACGCGTCGTCTTCTCTGCAGATCAAACTGCTGATCAAACACGACGACGACCTGGACGTGCCCTCGTACGACGACATCTTCCGAGACGAAGAGGACGAGGACAGAGACGACTCTGGAAATGAGAGCGACGAAGGCTCCGAGCCGTCTGGAAAACGGAGGAGATTCGACGAAGTGAGATAAATTCACAGACACAGCAGAGGTGAACTCAGAGGATTGTGACTTTAATGACTGGGCTGCTGTGTGTCGCAGGCGGCGATTGAGAGGAGAATTGAAAAACAGCGAGCGAGGAGGGAGTGGGAGGCACGAAGGTGAAGTTTTTCTGTTTTTTTTTTTTTTTGGTTGGTTATTTTTTTCAGTATAGTAAAATAGTTGTTTGTGTTTTTAATTTTCTAATATTCAAATTTCTCAGGAGGGATATCTTGTTTGATTATGAGCAGTACGAATACCACGGCACTTCTGTGAGTATCCTTTTAAAGACTTGTATTAGATTTGAGATATTTAAACCAATATCAGCATTGATAGTGAACTTTAAATATTGCAACAACAAAAAAAGCACATATTCACATCAGTCTAAGCATTTGATTTATGATAATTTTTTACTCTTTGATTCTAAGGCTGCGATGATGTTTTTTGAGCTTGCCTGGGTTTTGACTAAAGATACCAAAGACATGCTCTGGTGAGCTTTCTTATTAAACTTTTTTCCCTCTAAACAAACATGTTAGAAAAACCTAAACGTGTGCTGCTTTTTGTTTCGCAGGTGGGCCGTTATCGGGCTGACAGACCAGTGGGTTCACGATAAGATCACACAGTAAGAACATCGTCAGTGATTTAAACTTATTTCTAGCTGTTGGCGTCTCACCAAGTTCTTCCGTTTTTTTTTTTTTTTTTAGTATGAAATATGTGACAGATATTGCAACAATGCAGCGTCACGTTTCCCGACATAACCACCGAAATGAGGACGAGGAGAACTCTCTGTCCATCGACTGTATGAGGATCTCTTTTGAATACGAGTATCCTTCAAGTATCTGTTAGCTTGTCTTAATAGGTATTTAGATTGTTTATCCTTTCAAAGTATTCCTTAATCCTGCGCTCCAGCCTGCGTCTAACACTTTATCAGCACTGGTCCCTGTATGAGAGCATCTGTAACTCCTGCTACACCTCCTGCAGCTTCAAGCTGTGGACTTTAAATGGCCAGAAGAAACTCCAGGAGTTTCTAGCAGACGTGGGGTACATGCTAACAGAAGACAATCTCCTCAACCGTTTTGCTGAAGGAAAGTTTGTTTAACCAAATAATGTCTGTGTGTATATTTTAAATTTTTTTTACAGACTTCCCCTGAAACAAGTAAAACAGAAATTTAACTCCATGGACATTTCAATCAAAGAGAACCTGAGGGACGTCATTGAAGAGTCCTCCAATAAATACGGGTATAAATTCAAACTGGTTCAGCATTCACTCTGGTTTGCTCTGTTTTATAGTTTTTTTTTTTGTCTTAGCTAGCATTTGGCTTCTTTTAGCTTTAACAATCTAGTTTTAGCTTATTTAACTAATTACAGCTGTCATCCAGCACTCAGCATTTACAATTTGTTTTTGCAGATAATGCTATTTAATTAAATTTTATTTATTTATTTTTTGTATGTTTGACATTCCGTAATTTAGAGCATGATCCAAAAAGAGACATTTCAGGAAAAGTCACAGACTTTGAACTACAAGCGGTTTAATTTAAAAGAACTAAAAGGAAATTAGAGATGTTAACGAGGTAAAAATGACTCATCTGTCCTAACGACAAAGTTGCATTTTGTTTTCTCGTCAACTTCAGAATGAAAGACATTCGGATCCAGACGTTCGGCGTTCACTTCGGCTTTAAGAACCGTTTCCTAGCCAGCGACATGGTGCACGCTGCTGCTGCCTTGCTGGAGAGCACAGAGAAAGACGAGAGCGACACCACAGACAACTTCATCAAGGCTCTTGATTCTCTTTCACGGTGTGTCAAAGAAACTTGGTGGATGAACTGTTGAGCGGTCAGATTGTTCTGACCAGATTACAGAAACACCCGAGTCAAATAATTTGTCTGACTCTGTTTCTGCAGGAGTAATCTTGAGCGTCTGCATTCGGGGATTAACCTGGCTAAGAAGAAGCTGCTTGCCATCCAGCAGACTGTAGCCAGCTGCATCTGCACCAACCTCATCCTGTCACAGGGACCCTTCCTCTACTGTTACCTCATGGAGGTAGGAGTCTGAGTGTCAGATAGCATGTCTCTGTTCAGCAGCACGTCCTTCACAGACAACTCTTCTGCTGCTCCTTCCTTTGTAGGGGACACCTGATGTGAAGCTCTTTTCAAAGCCCCTGGCCTTAACTCTGCTCTGCAAGAACCTGCTGCGGGCTTTTGTCCACTCTGTAAGAATCTATCAAAACTAACTAAAAACCATGACTACTGGGAGCTCGCTCTTATTAAATTTGTGTCCTGGTTGTTTAGACGAGGAATAAACGCTGCAAGCTGCTTCCTCTCATCATGGCTGCTCCCAAAGACGTGGAGAAAGGAACCGCCATTGTTGTTGGAATCCCACCGGAGTCAGAGACATCTGACCAGAAGAAGTAGGTTCCCATTTTGAACTGGAGCTTTGTGCAAAAGATGAGTCCGTCTGAATGACAAGTAAACGCCTTACTTTATATGATGCTCTGAGATGACATGAATCAAATTTCTACAAAGTTCTCCTTCACACGAATAAGGATGCTTTTTAATTTTTTTTTTTTAAATCAAAGAAGTTGCGAGTTTTTGTGCTTTTGTCATATTTGCTTAGTGTTTCAAATTTAAAGAAAGAAAAAATAATACCAGTAAAGTTTTTCTGTTCATATTTCCGATTTTTATTGTTTTCTTTTCTCAACTGTTTTATTTGCTCCTGAAGTTTCTTTGGTCGGGCGTTTGAAAAAGCTGCAGAGAGCACCAGCTCCAGAACGCTCCACGATCACTTTGACACGTCAAGTGAGTGATGTTTTCTTATTCCTGTTCCCTACAATCACTTTATTTACACACGCACAAAAAACAACTTTATTTACACACATCAGTCTCCTCTGTTGACACCAGGTGGCAGCATCGGTCTTAAACTGTTATTTGTTCATCATAAATTTCAGCTGAACAGACCATGAAACTAAAGTGGCCCTTATCTGTTACAGAGTGTAAATCTTTTATTCACCTCCAGAAAATCTCTCCAGTGAAAATTTTTTCTCCTTTTCAGCAAAATGTTTACATTTTTCTCTTTGTGTTTGCAGTAATTGAACTGAAAACTGAGGACAGAAGCAAGTTTTTGGATGCGCTCATCACTCTCCTGTCATGAAAACCTCAGCAACTAAAGTAAATGAGTTTTGAAATTGAGCCCACAGCCCAGCTCTGGTCTTCATGCTGAAAGTTAATCAAACGACCTGGTTGTGTCAGACAGGGAGTGAGCCTCTCAAATGTTTGAAGCAGCTTTTCACCCCCTTTTTTTTAACTTTATGCCAGTTTTAAATTGTTTTATGTGTATATTGTACAGTTTTCTTTTAAAAGTTTTGGGCTTTTAGTGTTTTAAAACCTCATCTTTTACTTTTTTGTATGTGTGCAGTTCATGTCAGTTTACATTTTTAGCATGTTTAATAAATACTTTTAAATTACTTAATTAAGTTAGTGTTCAGATTTATTTTTACTTCTTGTAAATTCATATTTTACCAATCCAATTTTGTGCTACCATACCACTTTATTTATAAAGGACTTAAAAACAGCACTAAGGCCATCTGAAATGCTGTACAACATAATCAAGCAAGCAGAGGAAACCGGATAAAGTACATAAATAACAGCGATAAAAAAGAACAACTAGATTAATAAAACACAGTATGGTTCAAATAAAGGCTCAAAGGTGGAATAAAAGTGTGTTTTTAAACAAAACGGTAAGAGAGGGGGCCTGCCTAACATGCAGTGGTAAATCTACATTTACACATTAATCTAGATCCAAATTTACAGGTCTCTTGAAAATATAGTATAAATAAAGACTGAATGAAAAAAATCATGCCACAGTTTTGGGCCTGCAACAGAGAAGGTTCCATTTCTGAGTTTGTATCGTGTCCTTGGAACCATTCAAAGCATCTGAACTGCTGACATCAGCGAGTGCTGTGATATATTTATACAGTGTATAATTTATTTATTTTTTTAAACAGCTCTCGTAAATGAGTCCTTGAGGCTCATTGAGACTAACCTGTATAAATAAAGGTTTAATGAATACAGTGTATACAGTATATATATATATATTTTTTTTTTTGTCTGGACCGATTGAAAATCGGGCTGCAGCATTTTGTACCTGTTGAAAACGAGCAAAAGGACTGATTCCACAAAGCAGTGCACTGCAAGAATCAAACCTAGATGTTATAAAAGCATGTGTGTAACTGTCTCTAGACTTGTTTTGAACTGTATGGGCTTCAATTTAGACAATCGCCTCAACTAAAAAAAAATGCAGGATTTGCCAATTACGTTTACATGACTGTTTAGTTTCGTGCAAAGGTCCGTTTTCACTCCCAGATTTGTGACAATAGTTTCTCAAAAGGGCAAAGGTCAGTGCTTTATTTCAACAAGTCTGGAGAAAGTTGGTAGAAAAAGCATAAAGGCAGGCATAAAATTTGTTTTCTTCAAATTATTCAAACATTCAGTTCTGGTTTGCTTTCACCTTTAGTGGGCAGACCTGGACCTTCACAAGACTCTGCCAAGGGTACTGTGAAAGCCCAACCATTTACTATGCAGTCTGGACTCACTCATCCAATCTAGGTACGGCTTTGATCCGATGCGTACTTGATTTGGTGATGGTACCTCCAACTCAAAAACGGTTCCAAATCGACACAGTAACACTGCTAAAACATTTGCATGCTCAAGGCCATAAAGCCAGCGTGTTCAAACTGAGGTCACGTTTCTACACCACATCATCAACAGAGAGAACATGTTAAGGTGATCCAGAGAATCCCAAAACCAGTCACCAAAAAGCAGCTTTTGACATTTTTGGGAACATGTTCATATTGTAGGCAGTTCATCCCAAATGACAGTTTTAGAAGCGACATGGGGAAACGCCCGACCCTCACTGACGACGTCAAATGGACTGACGCAGCTGAAGAGACTTTTATGACCCTAAAACTGACTTTACAGACAACTATGCTTGAACTGCTCGACCTCACCAGACCTATATAAAGATGGTGGATGACAAAAGTGGGTGTATGGCCTGTTTTTTTAACAGGACTTTGGCAGGAGGCTGTGCCCTGTTGCCTATTTTTTGGCTAGACTTGACCCTGTGGTAGCAGGGATGCCCCGCTGCTCACATGCAGTAGCAGCAGCTGAGAAAACTGTTCTCACTTCATGTGACATCGTGTGGTATTCACCTTTGACCTTTTTGGTTCCTCATGCTGCGTCTTTGATTGTTATAGAGCAAAATGCTTCTCACTTCTCTGCAGCACGACGGCTGAGATAAAACACTGGAAATACCCAACATCAATGTTGAACATTGGTCACCCTCTTACCTGTTCCAGGTGATGGACACAAACATAAACTGGCAATTTTACCAGAAACCTGCACGCATCTCTCCAGCCCTGATTTCCTGTTTTGTTTTTTGTTGATGTCTCTGCTTCCAGAGACCCATGTGGAACAAATAGGGATGGGTTTGCTGTGTTCATCTAATGAAACACTTGTTTCAGCTGCACTTCCTGCTAACTTTTCAGCCCAAACAGTAGAATTAGTGGCTATAACAGAGGATTGCAAACTCACAAAAGGAAGATCAACAATTTACACACATTATGCTTTCGGTATAGTACATGATTTTGTTAGTCTCTGGCAACACAGACATTTTCTGAAATCTGATGGTAAAGCCATGCTGAGTGCTTCACAGGTGGCCGACCTTAACGCCATACTGCTCAGAGTCAGAGATTTATTTGTCATACACACCACATGCGATGCATGAGGTGGGACGAAACTATGTACATAGGGTCCCAGTTACATCCAACAAAAACACAAATTGTAAAGAAAAACGGTAAGATCCAAGTCATGAACTAAGAAATATACTACATTCACTAAACTAAGAATACACAAGACTAAGAATACACTAAGCAATAGTAGTACAAAAACAATGTGCCAAAACAACATCAGCACGAACATGAATGTATGAGCAGATGAGGACTATTGAACACAGCAACATGAAATAATCACATATCACACATAGCACATATCAACATCAAGTGGCATTACAGTGATTTTCACAGTTGTTTTTATTTTTTTCACAGTGATTTTTCCTGGTTAGAGATTCATGAGTCTAACAGCCTCAAGGTAGAAGCTGTTCCTCAGCCAAGTGGTTCTGCACTTAATGCTCCTCAGCCTTCTGCCTGAGGGGAGTGGGGCAAAAAGTGTGTGTGCTGGGTGAGTGGGGTCCTTCATGATGCAGGCGGCCCTCTTCCTGCATCTGGAGGTGTAGATGTCTGTGATGGTGGGGAGGCTGACTCCAACAGACAACTCTCTGCAAAGCTGTTCTTTCTGCAGCTGTGCAGCCTCCACGTCACACGTTGACCACACGCTGCTTTCGCTGTGTGAATATGCCACGCTCACACTTCTGAAACTGACCTTATCTCAAGAGAAATGCAAGCGCAGACGCTGCTGCAAAAGTTGCAGCCTTACGGACACTTTCGGACTCATTTTGCTCTACTCCTAATGAGCAAAACAATGTTTCATCTGATTTACTGGCTGTTCAATCCTTTGCAACTCCAAAGGAGCAGATGTATGGAAGTCCAGTGGCGCCTCATTTTGTGACTGGGGTACGGTCCTGATAATAAACCTTGTTTACAGCGTCGTTTCTTTCCACATTTCATGAAACTGACACTTGCACAGCGTGAACGACTCACCTGTTTATTATATTGACTGGTTTAGATTAACCTGAATCTGTTAAATGAACCATATTTACCAACTCTGCTTCACTCATAAATACTGGATAGTAGACTAAGTTTAAAGGTTGTCACAGATGACATCACTGTTCAGGAGAACAAGAGCTCATACGTTTTAATCAAGTCCCAATCATGAGTGTCTCTTGTGGACAAAAGTAGAACTGCAACAACAAATTTATAGTCCGTCGACCAAAATTTGACTGAAAGATAAATTGTTTTACATTTCATTCTGTAGCACCTAAAATATTTGAGCAGTTTCTGATTTCTGTTTAGTCAGAAGTAACAAATGAAACTGAACTAAGCATAATGAGGATTGTGTTGCCTCCTGCAGGGAGCAACTGTGGAGGAAGAGCAGAGACGGAAGCTGCCAGTTTTCTGCTTGTATTTCTATATTTTTAACTTTTTCTGTAAAAACGGAACATGAAAATCTGATCAGATACTTCTCAACATTTAATTTGGCTTTTTTGCTTCAAATTGTATATCCCCCATGTGTCAGGAACATCTTAGTAGTGTTTCTTTTTAAATAGAAAATAACATTAAACACCAACAAATATCTTATTGATAGGTGACCACAAGATATACCATATCAGAATCAGAATACGCCTTATTATCATTGTACTGAAATACAGTGAGATTATGTTCGTACAGTTGTCTGAAAGATGGGTGGCGTGCACTTTGCTGCTGCTACTAGAGCGCGGCCCCTTATGCTTTTTCAGAATACTTTTTTAGATAGAAATGGGGAAAAAGCCACGCGGATAGTGGCGTTGCAAAAAAAATAAAATCTCTTCACAACTTGTCCTATCAGGACACGATTTAAGACATCAAAAAACTGCCAGCAAGCACATTTATAAACTCATTACATATGCATTTGACGGCAAGACGGTGAGATTTGTCCATGAAGCACTTCCAGATAGACCATAGTCCTGATAAAGTGTTGGTCATATTTTAAGCATTTAAAGATCAAATAGCTTTTTATAGCTTATCTGCAGTAGCATCCAGTTTGATCACACTCAACAAAGCACTACCGGTACTTTTGCGTTGCTAACAGTGGGTTGAAAAAAACATTAATTTAGTTTATTTCTGTTTATAACCCAAGTTTGATTGGTCTCCAAATGGTCATGATAACTATTACCCTTTGACATATAGAAAACTCATGTAAAACAAAGAGTGCTAATGGGGGAAAACCAAGGAAAGATGACGTGATCTAAATTGATCTGAATTGTTTTGTTAATGTCCAAACTGTCATTTTATAGAAAATATACATTTATTCCCATTTCCAAATTGCTTCTGGTAAATGTTTTGAGCCTTAATAAACTTAGCATCTTCTCTGCGCTCAGTGTGCACATGTGGGGCAAAGGTTAATGTTATGAACGTGGATGGCCAAGAATGTAGATCAGGT